ACGCTTTGATGATGAGTACGTTGGCATGAGCTGAACCGGATGGGTCACCTTGACGGAAAGGCTACAAAATTTAGAAAAGACTCCTCAATTTGAGCAAACCCAAAACCCAACGCTTAGCCCACCAAATTGTGCTGCTAACCACTAAAACTTCAGGCCTTTCTCTTTCGCGTGACAAAAAGAAAAAAACACATATCAGCTTTCATTTATGAACATACTTGCACATTATTCATATTTGAATTGATGATATCCACTGTGCGTATATCACATGTTTGCTAATAAGAATAATTTGTATAGACATAGCGTTTGCAAAGGGGGTGTTAGGACAAAATACAGGAGGACGTCATAGCATTGCATATTGGTAAGATAGATAATTGCTCGTGTGTGGCAAAGGGGATATAAATATTCAAATACACTAGCCCATGATTTAGTTGTCCCTATTAATGTGATAGTACAAAAATAGTTTTATTTGGTATACACTTATTTGGTGAGCAACTTATTGCCTTACCAAAGAAAACATAATATTAGAACGGCGATAAGTGCGGAGCGTGTGGGCTCAAGGGGGTCTGACCGAACGATTTTGTGGCCATTCATTGTGCCACTTCAGCCTTTTTATCCGCTTGTTTTTTCTTCCACGCATGCATGCTAACAAGGACGAAAACATATGCTGTCAACGGGAATCTTTTAGATTTTATAAACTTAAAATGTTTTATCTTTTAAATAAAAAATCGGATTGAAAATCCATTTTCACCATTAAATCTGTCGCGATCAGGTCTTCAAAACTAGATCACATATCGATATGTTTCAACGTATTTTTGGTGGTTAAAAGTTGTCATGATGTTTACACTAAAATTGTCATGATGTTTACACTGAAGTTGCCATGATATATTTCAAGTATTTTAACCTGATAATTTCAAATATTTTAAGATGTTACACATAAGTGCCGAACGTGTGGAGAAGGAGGTCTGACCGTACGCCCTTGTGGCCATCCATTGTGCCACAGCAGCTTTTTTATCCGCTTTTTTTCTTCCACGCATGCATGCTAATAAAGACGTAAATATATGATGTTAATGGGAATTTTTTGGATTTTTAAACTTAAAAGTGATTTATCTCTTAAATAAAATCCGATTGAAAATCCGTTTTCATCATTAAATCTGTCGGGACTAGATCTTCAAAACTAGATCTCATATCGATATGTTTCGACAATATATTTTAACGGTAAAAAGTTACCATGTTGTTTACACTGAAATTGCCATCATATGTTTCAACTATTTTAACATGTTACAAAAAAGGAAAGAATTTTGCCATGGTCGAAAAGGTAGAACTGCCTTGATATGTAGAATACATTTGCCCTAATCTAAAAAAAACCTAAAATTTATGAAGGTCAAATAAAAAGTAACTCTTTTCCATTCTTTTTATCATGTTGCAAAAAACAAAATTTTCATGATGTAAAAAAGGAAACTAAAAAATTGCCATGATGAATTACTAAAAATTGCCATCATCCATGAACTAATTTTGACATGGTTCATAATTAAACAAAATCCATCGTCAATTACTAAAAAAGCCATGGTCAATGACTAAAATTTGCCAAGAACCATAAACTAAAATCGCAATGGTGAATTACTAAAATTTGCAACGGTTTACACAAAAGAAATCATGGTCAAAATACTAAAATTGCCATGATCTATATACTAAATTTGACATGATGAATTACTAAAAATAGACATGATCCATTTAGTAAATTTGCCATGGTTAAATACTATAAATTGCCATGACCCATTTAGTAATTTTACCATATGATTAATTACTAAAAATTGCCTTGGTCAATTAATAAAATTTGCTATGTTGAACTAATAAAGAATTTCCATGATCAATGTAGTAAATTTGGCATGGTTCATAAAATAAAACTCCAAAACTTGGTGTGGCAACACATGTTTATTTGCCATGGAATGAACACATGTTTATTTGCCGTGTTTTGTATAGTAAATTTGCCATGGACACACAAAAAAGAGTCACACATGCGCAACACCACAATGGCGACAACCGCTCCACCGGACCCACAGCCCCTCCCCCGGCGCGCCGCCGCACATCGAGATGCACCCGAGAATCTCCTTGACGC